CCTAATACATGTAGCCCTTCCCAACAAAGATCCCACCCTTAGACATGACAAATTTGTCTGACTCAAATACTAACTTGAAACCATACATATTAAGTAGGCTTCTAGATACAAGATTTTTCCAGACATAAGGTACATGATAAGTATCATTAAGACTTAAGACTTTTCCAGATGTGAAATACAGATCCACCGTCCCTTTGCCCTTAATAACAACAGTTGAGGAGTTGCCCATGTAGAGAACTGTTCCATCACTCACTTGTTCATAAGTAGCGAAAAGGCTCTTGTCGTTGCAAACGTGCCTCATTGCTTCTGAGTTAATCCACCAGTCACCAGCATCTTTGAGCATGTTCACCTCGGATACAATAGCCACGAACTTGTTCTTGGCATTTGATGCTTTTCGCTTCTTCTTGTATGACCAACATTCATTTCTGAAGTGCCTTGGCTTCCCAAAGTGCAAGGAAGCGCCTTTCAGCTTCTTAACATCTTTCTCATGTTGGGGGTCGCTCTTACGCTTCCCTTTGTTAAACCTCTTGCCATCATCCACCATGTGGATCTTGGAAGTCTGAGCCAATTGGTTATCTTTACTTTCAAGAAGCCTTGACTCTTCCTTCAACTCAGAGGTGTTAAGCCAATTCCTCTAAAGTAAAATCTTCCTTTTTGTGTTTAGAGTTTTCTTAAAATCCTTTCAAAAAGATGGCAATTTCTCTATTATAGATGAAACTACAATAGATTCATCAATGTTCATATTTTTTTGTTGAAATTGACTCAGAATATGCTGGATCTCATGGAATTGTTCCATAATGGGCTTTGTATCAATCATAGTAAAATGCATAAAATTACTAACAAGAAATTTCTTACTAGTGGCATCCTCAATGAGGTACTTTGACTACAATGTGTCCTAGAGTTGCTTTACCGTTTCCAAATGTTGTACACATCGAACAGAGAGTCTAACAACGCATTTAGAAGGTGTCCTCAGCAAATGTAGTCGTCATTCTCCCATTTGGTTCTGGTACGAGTTTGCTCTACCGTCTCGTCTTCTTGCTCTACCGGATAGGGGGTAGTCAGCACGTATACCACTTTAAGATTAGTGAGCAGGAAGTGCATCTTCTTTTAGCAACGTCGGAAATTTTCTCCATCAAATCAATCAAGCTTCATGAAATATTGAGTCATTTTCTAAATAGACATCGCCATATCGAAACATTGTCTTTAGATTGTTGGATCAATCCATCTTGAATTCTTCAGTTGATGGTCTTCCGGCTTAAAAACTTGGTGATGATCTTGTCTATGTAGAACAGAAAATTGGTGCTTCAAGTCGCGTTACTTAGTCTTTTTCCTAAACACAATATTTGCACCCACCAAAAGGTCTGCAGGGGTTTATAGCAAATTTGCCTCCAGGATACAATAAAGCCTGATCTAAGGATCAAGTCCACCGGCGTTTGCACTGACGACAGTAAATCAGAATACTCTTGATATAATCAACAAAACCAAGACACTAATAATCAAGTATGCAGAATTTGATTACTAGTAAGAAAAGTAGAAACTTACTTAAGAAACTCTTAATCGAAAACTTTAAATCAAGAGAGGAAAGAGAAAGAATTACAAGAATACTTTCAATATTTTGAATGGATTGAAATGGTTGATTCCGTAGCCTATTTATAGGCCTTGATGCATCTGATCGAATGTTCAAGTCCCTTGATTACATCTGATCAGATCTGACCGTTGGATTGACGATCTATGGTGCAAATCAATCCCACACCGAATAGATGCCTTGACTGATCACTCCTGATGACAATTGGGTGCCATCTCAACCGTACAATTACATGCATCTCCAATCAATGGCTATGATCAAACTGCTTTAGATCAAACACACAACCATTCGATTGGTTGATTGACTCATTGCTAGCAGATGCCACATCACGGTCATGAAGTGCTGACTGTATTCCACGTCATCCATGCTACGTCGGATCCACGTTATCGCTTCAACCTATCCGATGCAAATAGAAAAAGCCCTCATGGCGGCGATGTGTCGGTGCTAAGTGCGCCATCAAATGCCACACTGCAGGTGGTGCGAAGCACCATTCTTGCGATGTGAGTGCGTGTACACTAGCATCTATTCCATAATTCCATATTCAAAGAAATATTCCATGTAACACTTTATTAAGTGCTCCATATTCTTCTCTCCTTCCAATATAGGACAAAGTCCCCAAACTTATTTCAAGTTTTCTAAAGAAAAATAAGAAAAGGTTTGAAAACACCCAAAAACGAAATTATGAATTTTGAAAATTTCCCAACAATATTCAGGTCAAATTGAAGTTAGTAGAACAAAAATTGATTCTTAATATCAAAATCATATCTTCTAGGAATTGTCTAGCCTCTGGAGATTGCTTTTGTTGTATAAATTGAGTAATTAATATGTGGTATTTTTTCTATAATTCACAAAGTCAATAGTTATATGTTGTTGAACTCATGCATGTTAAGAAATTCATCAAATAATCTTTTAAAGCCCAATTTTGTAAATTTTTTTATTTATGTTGCTTGTAGAGTAAAGAACAAGAATTGAATATTTGTAATTTTACTGATTTTTGTAACATATTTGAATTAATGCTAGAAAGTGGTTTAAAGTTCCTTGAATTGAAAGAATTGATGATATTGAAAAATTTGTGGTTATATATACAAGGATAAATTGTGAACTCTTGCATGTGAATTTGAATTGGTGGAAATTATAAATTAAAAGATGATTTGGTTAAAAATTTGCAAATCGTTCTTTGATTTAAATGTCCGACTCATTTCGAAAAATTGAAATTCTTGTATCCTTTATCCTTCATACACTTTTTCTCTTTTCCTTTCCAAATCCCTCAACCAAACACAGCATTAGCGAATCTAAGTTGTGTATAGTGAAATTGATATTGAGAATTAATTGGTTTGAGTTTCACAATGAAAGTTTGAAAACTTGCCCATTTCCTTCTAATTAGTAGCTGATTAAGCGGGAGTTATATAAGCAGTGATTTCCTTCCGATGAAGTAGGGGTTATTTAGATGATTTTGGTGATAGACCACTGATAGATACACACCTAGGAAAAAGAGTTGAGGAAAAAGATTTGAATTTAAAATTGACTTACGTTACTTATTACAGTTATGCTACGTAACTCGAAATTTTCGAGCTCGAATTTCGCCCGAATTCAACACGACGTCGTTTCGTTGTTTTGATTTTTTTTTTTTTTTTTCAATAACACAAAACAAGAAAAATCAAAAAAGAAGAACAAGAAAGAAAAAGAAGAAGGAAGTAGCAGAGAGAAAAAAAACCACCCAACAAGCCATTCATCTTTATATCTTCATCAACATCATCATCATCAACCATTCATCTTCAGATCTAGAAAGAAAAAAAAAATCAACCATTCATCTTCAGATCCAGAACATCTTCATCATCAACAACATCACCATCATCATCATCCTCATCAGCACATCGATCCGAAGAAAAAAAAAATGGTTGATTTGAAAAAAACACAATGATCGATTGATCTGGAAAAAAAAAAAAAAAAAACGGGCAGAAAAGGAGGCGACGTCGACCCTCTCTCTCTCTCCATTCCCTCTTACCCTCTCTTCTCTTTCTCTCTTTCTCTTTTTCTCCCTCTCCCTTTTCCTCTTCTTCTCTCTTCTCTCTGCGTTTCAGACATTAAGGAGGGGGGAAAAAAAAAAAAAAAAAGGAAACTGTCCAAAATGACGTCGTTTTGGACAGTCAGGAGATTCGGGGGAAGGAAGATTCGAGCTACGAAGTTTTATTCTACTTATTATCACATCATAAGATTATATTCGTTATTCTTTTAGGGTTAAATTCATTTTACCTCTTTATGGTTTGAAACCAGAGCATTTTATTTCCTTATCGTTTAAATATAGGCAAAAAATCTCCACGTAATTTTGAATTAAAGTGCTATCGTTAGTTTTTTCAACCAAACTAACGAAAGGTATATTACACACCACTTTTGACAGTGAGTTTTGTTCGTTGAAAAATTAGAATGAAATTAATATAACAAAAGGACAATTTTCATTTTCTCCAAACTTAAAATTAGATTAAAATAAATTAAAATATAATTAAGAATTGATCTAAAATATAAGATAAACAATAATTAAGAATTGATCTAAAATATAATTAAATTAAAATTAGATTAACTTGTCAAAAATTATAATACATAATTAAGAATTTAGGATTAATTATGATCTAAAATATAATTAAAATTACAATAAATAGTTAAATATTTAGGATTGATTGTGATCTAAAATATAATTAAATTGAAATTAGAATAAAAATTTAAGAATTACAATAAATAATTAAAAATTTATTATTAATTATGATTTAATTGAATTAATACTAGATATTATAAATTGTGTATAGAAATGAGAAAGAAAATAATAAAAAAGTATAAGATTTCAAAGTATTATAATCATTTCACATTTATAGTTAACAGTATTAATGATTACGTTTTAGTCCAAAACCATATTGGGGGCATATGGCTATTTTTAAAAGATGGGGAGAAAAAGTGCTATCAAGCCATACCAGAGGGAGGTAAAATGAATTTTGCTATTCTTTTTATTCACCTTAAGGTTCTGTTTAATTGGGAGATTTGAAAAAAAAAAAAATTGAAAAGGAAAAGAAAAAAAATAAATGAAATGTAAATAAAATATACTTATATTTCACCTAATTTTACATACATTTTTTCTTTCCCTTTTCAAATCCCTCCCCAAATCTCCCAATCACATACAACCTAAGTAAAAATTAAATTATGTTGTACATTCATGTTCATTCCAATTGTTATAAATCACTCTTCAGTCTATCAATGAAGTGGATGAGGATGATGACTTTCTATTATATTCTTGTTGTAAAGAGAGAATGTCGTTTATTTTGAATGTATGCCTTAGAATAACAACTTGATTTAGTTTGTTGAATTATATGTATGATGCATTAGACATGGGAATGTATACCATGTAACTATTGTAAAAGATAATGAATAGAATCCAGAACATGTTTTGTATGTGATATATATGTATCTTCGGAGAGCTAGAGTATGATTATTTGATTACTTCTATTACATTGAGGTAGAATTATATGAGTTTATAAAATTGGGTAGTGACAATGACTGGATCCAAAGTAATTTTGTTTATTTATTTGTTTGTTTCAATTTGTGTTTTTCTATGAAAGATATACAAGAGCAAGAGCAACAGCAACAGCAATTCAGTTTGGTTAAGAAGTCAAATGATGATTGACATACAGCATGCAAGTATTCATAGTGGAAGTTGTCTGCAGGTTGGACAATACCACTTTCCTTTGAATCTCGTCTCCGGTGTGAGCCCAACACACGAGTAGTGGAACCATTCACCTCCTTGGCACTGTCAAAAGAAAAAATAAATAAAACATAAATAAACCAGAATCACAAAGATCCTTTCTTCACTTCCCCACAATGACTACCTTAATTACAAAGTCAATCAATTAGTTACCTTCATCTCAAGACTGGTGGTTAAGTTGGCAAGGATTCAAATTGCTTGAAATTACTATTTTACCATCATATTATATTTTAAGTGATAAGCAGCAAGTGAATGTGTACCTAGAGAAGACCACACAATACAACAAAGAGATGGATTTGGCTTTCATAAATCAGTTACGATTCTTATTTTATGAACCAAAAATATGTCCAGAGATTGGCTTTTTCACCTCACATTGTATTGATTATCTATGTTGTTCCAAATCTCTCTCATGCTTCCAATCAGATACTCCGAAAAAATTCTACAATACTAACTACTGTTCATTACATAACTCCTCACTATCATCTTTGACGAATTTTTTTGAACGATTCTGCCACCAAGACAATCAAACCTAACAGTTGAAATATCTGTATCTAATGAATCAACAAAAACAAAATAGAATGAGAACCAGGAGAGAATTATGCAGAGAGAAAGCTATAAAAAAGAATGAAGAAAACGTGAGTTACATTTTCATTGTCACAGGCAATCATATCTCCAAAAGACACCTGAAAGATGATTAAGGCAGTTGCAGTATGTTAGTGATGTAGTTTACCAAATCAATTGAAGCGAAGAGAGACAGAGAGAGGTAACTTGAAAAATAACTAAAAAAACAAAACACAAGTTGAACAGAAGTCAGAACCTGATGGCACACACAGTAGGTAGGTTCATTTGGATCAATGGGTTGATCAAGATCAACAGGGGCAGCAAAATCCTTCTTAAGGCCGCCGGGAGGAGGCATGAGCTCAAAATCCCTGTCACGCTCTCGGTCCCAGTCCCTCTCCCTGTAATCAACCCTTTTTGGTTGAGGTGTTCCGTAATGTGATCTGCGTTTCTCATTTTTAGGGACTAAAGGTAATGGAGGAAGAATTGTTGGCTCATCTGGTGATATTTTTCCCTCTGTAAATATTGGCAAAAGAAAAATTATAAGCAAACCTAGAGAAAAATACTGGAATTACCTCAACCATTAGTATGTCCCATTTGATGATCCAAACCTAGAGAAAAATACTGGAATTACCTCAACCATTAGTATGTCCCGTTCCAGTGTGGCCGGGACATGTCATGCAATTACCTCAACCATTAGTATGTCCCATTTGATGATCCAGTATGATACAGTTGAGAATATAAATAATGAAGTTGTCCATCTCTCTAATAGCTTAAGCTTTTAGATGAGTTGGTGGTCAACAATTTAATATGGTATTAGAGCAGGTAATGGCCCTGTTTGGTGGAGCTTTTTTTAAGTTAAAAGCTGATAATCAAAAAGCAGAAGCTAAAAACACCCCTACCTCACCTTTCAAATAATCAGCTTTTTTTAGCTTATTTAAGCTATTTCTGCCTAATAAGCTATAGGCAGAAGTTGCACTAAACAGTCTGGTACAGACTCCCAAATCAAAATACGCTATAATCACCCCCCAAAAGCTATAACAAATATCATGTCTTTAAACCTCACCGCCCACCCGATAATTAAAATACTTACACATGTTTGGTCCACTTATGGAGGACAGCCCGGCCACACATGGCCTATTGAGAATATAAATATAAATATAAATAATAAAATTGCCCCTCTATCTAATAGCTTAAGCTTTTAGATGAGTTGGTGGTCAACAATTCAATATCAAACACTAAAAATACCAGTTGTTACTGATATCTAATGGTGTTTAAATAGGGAAAATTAAACTTTTAAGTAAGGTGTATTGGCATTTTAGGAAACTTCTAGCGGTCATACAAGATGCTGGTTTTTAAGACCACAAGACTTTTTGCTTAAACCCATTAACTTATTTATAGCCAATTCAGAACTGCTAAAAAAACATTATAAAGAGTAATTGAACTGGATACTCTAGGAAGCATTTGCTAAACCTTGCTTTAGATCTTCTGCAAAGTTGGTCAGGTCCTCATCAAGCCGCTTTATATGGCTATCTATCTGAAATAAAATAAGCAAATAAAATAAAATGAAAAAGAGAGCTCCAACTCTTAGAAGGTAACAACAATACAGTGACTGGACAATATATGAAAATAATGCACCACAGATAAATTTAATACTTGGGACATAATCAAATTTTGTGTCCCCCAATGGTTTATGGTTAAACAATGTTGTGTTGTGACAACAAAAAGCTCCTAGCATAATCTAGAATACAATGAGAAAATAAACATTCTAACAAACATGACACAGCAAACCATTGTCTTCATTGTTTAAGTGAAAGAATTGTGGAAACAAGCAACTCATAAGATCAACATTATATAAGAGAGCATTGACAGGAGAATTCACTATAACTACTCTGGTGAAATTTTAAGAGGTTACCAAAAATGGAGTGCACATGAAAACAGAAGTAAAACCAATTGGTAGTTCAGGGGTAACCTCATAGTATTTCAGCGCATCTCCAGTGGCTAGCTGTATTAACATGTGTGTAGCCCTTATAAAGCTAATACAACAGAAAATAGTCTATCACAAGGAAATAAATCAAAGACAAAACAAGCCCAATAGAATATGAAGAGAGATAGAAATAGATGGAGAGAGGGAGAAAGAATGAGAGAGCACTGACCTTTGAAAAAATAAAAAATAAATTAAAAAATTGGAATAAAAAACAACTGGATATTTATTTGTTGTATCCCTCCCGTATCTGAAACCTAAATAAAAAACAAATTGGATACCTATTTATCATATCCAATACATATCCAGACATATTGATCATGTATTTGTATCCGATACATATCCAACACTCGTACAGGACCTTTTTTGGAGTATCCGTTCTTTATAGACCTCAAATAAACAACTTTTAGTGTAGTAGTCAAATGTAAATAAAAGTTATGTGGGTTTTGACAACATAATTAAACAATTATACAACAATCGTGGCAGTATGACAGTGAGATTGTCCTAGCAAACTACCAACACTAATCAGATGCCAATTTACTTGCAATGCCAAGTATCACATACATTGAAGTTATGTATTAGCGTTAAAGAGACATTTGAGAACTTTCTCAAATACACAAGCACACATTAGTTGTAAAAAGTAGGGGCTGGTGGTGGAGCGCCTATGCGAGAGTATATATTTTATATATAAATATATTGTAAGAAATATGTTTGTTGTTTAGGCTGAAATATGTTTGTTGTTTAGTGATGTAAGACGAGTAAGGATTACTTTCCTACAAGTAGTGAGCCCTGATTAAATATACTGGCAGCAGCAACAATAGACTTATAGGACTAGATTTGGTGGGAGTTTGTGGCTACAAAAGTATTTAAAAAATAAGAGTTTAAGAGTTTGCAAAAAGGTGGGGTTTTGGAAATGAAAACACAAGTGTTCAGGGGCTATTGGGTGGCTGTTCTAAGCACTGTGAACAGTGATGCGAACAATAACCTTGCTGGAGAGAGAGAAAGTGTGACAACCCTGACCTCCGTATTGTTTTTACATATTATTTTATTGGGTATAATATGCATGATTACATGCTTATTTGATACTTATCTGTTTGTTTGTGATATATCTGTTTGAATGTCGCCTTAGAATTCAAAATTGAAAGCCCAAATAGATTCAAAAATCGAAATTGATTAATTCAATAGGTTAGTTGGAATATTTAGAACTATATGGCAAGTTTAATTAAAATTTGATTCGGAACAAAATAATTATAATAAATTAATTATAATTTATTAGACTTAAGCCTAATTGATTAGTCTTAATAACATTTAATTAGTTAAGCCTAATCCACCTATATATATATATATGTTAATTACACTTAAGACTTCATTTTCAACAACTCTTGAGCTGAAAATTGAGAGAGGAGAAGAGAGACAACACTTGTAGAGAGAGAGAAGGGGAATTCAAGGCAGTTTGAAGAAATTAAGCTTAATTGAGGCCAAATTCAAGCTCTAGGTATGATTCTTACCCATAATTCATGAAGATAATCCATGTAGGAAGATGAATTCACCAAGTTGTAGGACCATTTGCATGAATTTGAAAGAAAAGAGTTAGAATCATCATGAGTGTCGTGAGTTTGAGTGAATTGTGCACATACATGCATAATTCTCCATCTTTGAACTTGGTTCTCTACAAATTCATACATACATGGGAATTACACAGGTTATTTCTTGAGATTCTTCATGATTTTACACTCAACATCTCATATAAACATGGTTTGTAAAGAAAAGAGTTGAGTTTACCACATGCATGGCAAGAACATGGTGTTTTGAACTTTGTTTTGAAGAATTAAAAAAGATAATCCATGTAGGAAGATGAATTCACCAAGTTGTAGGACCATTTGCATGAATTTGAAAGAAAAGAGTTAGAATCGTCATGAGTGTAGTGAGTTTGAGTGAATTGTGTACATACATGCATAATTCTCCATCTTTGAACTTGGTTCTCTACAAATTCATACATACATGGGACTTACACATGTTATTTCTTGAGATTCTTCATGATTTTACACTCAACATCTCATATAAACATGGTTTGTAAAGAAAAGAGTTGAGTTTACCACATGCATGGCAAGAACATGGTGTTCTGAACTTTGTTTTGAAGAATTAAAAAAGAATTTGGGATCATGGTTTCATAATTTTCAACAATTCATATTTTATGAAGAGTTTCTAAGCTTTTGAGACTAACCATGCAAGCTTTAAACTTGAAAGGAATGTTTTTTAACTTCAAACTCAATTCTGGAAAACTCAGAATTCGCCCAGTTCACTCGAGTGAAGAATTCATGGCTCGAGCGACCATTGCAGGCATCCAGTATTTTTGCAAGCCTTTGGCAGTTGACTCGAGTGACCAAGTGTGCGCTCGAGAGAACTCACCTTTCTTCAACACTTGGCTCAAGTGACCATCGAGCGCACATTTTGAGCAACCAGTACTTTTGCAGTCAAGTCACACCGCTCTATTTTCAACAAATTTTGACAAACACTCCTAAGTGCATATTTGCATCATCATGTCCTTTTAGGCATTCTTAAACATCATTAGTCATGGAATAAGTTAGAAACACATGCAAGAAGATTGGATTAAGATGCTTTACTTGTTACAAACGTGTGTTTAATGTGTATTTATGTTATGTGATTTGTGTAGGTAGCCAAACGAGGTCTATCATCAATACCAGCCCACTGTGAGTAGTATCTTTGTAAAAATATGTTATTAAAGTGTATTTTTGGTTTACCGCAAGGTTATTATTTTGAAATGATATTTTGATATGAGTGACTGATTATCTCTTTTGAAATGTAATGTCGTATCCTTAGTGTAGCCCTCACCTGGGGTAACAATACCATGACCCTTTGCTATAAGACCCTCGCCCGAGGAAATCAATACCATGGCCCTTCGCTATAAGACCCTCGCCCAGGAAAAATGATACCATGGCCCTTTGTTATATGTGCATAGAGATCTCTGATGTTGACCCAAGTGGTCTATTTGCTTGGCCTATATGGTCCCTTCGTTAGACTCATGCGGTCCCTTTGTTATGCCTTCGAGCCCTTTGTTGCACTATTGGATGTACCACATATAAATATGATTTGTGAACTTTGATACGACAAGTACTCACTTATGATTTGTTTCGAACTCATGTGATATGATTTGTTTCGAACTCATGTGAAATGATTTTGTACTATGATAGATATCATTCATTTAACCTCTTTACACTGGTATTACTCACTGAGTTTTAGCTTACCCCCTTCCCCTATATATATGTAGGTAAGCAAATGGAGCGACAAGCTTAGAGCAACCTCGGCAGTCCACCCTTTTGTCAAGCCGCTTCGGAGTGCCTCTCTGATGGGGCGATCTTGGTCTCATGTGGAGCCAAGTTGTGTCAACCTTGTGAACCAAGTTCTTTTATTTAGTTTGCTTTTGTTTTTGGAACTTGTTATGTACGGATATTTTGTCTAAATGTTAAGATGTTTGATGTAAGTTGTAACTATGAGTTCATGTCTAGTTTTAATTATTCATGTAATTATATGTGTGCACTGCTCGATGGACATGGTTGTATTTTAATATTGCGTCCGCAATGCCCCGTTATTATTTCTAATTATTAATTATCAGTTTTGTCTTTGAGACCGAACGTAATCTGGGATTACTGGCCGGTCACGGCATAAACCTCTGGGGGCGGATTCGGGTCATGAGAGAGAGAGAGAGAGAGAGAGAGGTGCGTCACCCTCACATGGGATAGGCCAATCACACAAACACAACCTCAGATTTTCATAATATTAACTCTTCTCCTTAATCATTGAGATTACACATATATTTATAAGCTAAAGACTCTTAATTCTATCAAGACTATAACTCAAATTTAAAAACTAAAAATATTTAGCAACTATTAATATTCTAAACCAATTATGACTTTCAATTCTACTTCAATCATAAAAGGAAACTGTAATGGCTTCCAATTCTACTTCAACATCAAAATAGGAAATTTAGACTTTTGACCACTAAGATTATTTTAGACATAATAAAACCTATATATAATGATCCATTTAATAACTTGACCCAAAATAATAAAATCCATGGGTGACCCCTATAACCCATGTCCAACAATTATTGGAATTACCATTATACCTTTAGTTACTAAAACCTACTATAATGACATGAAGACTCGAAATTATTCCAAATCTTTAATTCTTGATACCCAAAATGTGCCTCATGTGAAATTCCAGATTTGTTCTTTTTCTTCTTTCCATGATCTTCATCATTTAGGTTGTAATATATATGTTAAATGTATACATTATACCACCACTTCAAGTGTTAAAATAAGCATAGTAAATTCTCATATCACAAGTAACAATTCATTACCAATAACATACATTTTATTCGTGTTTAGCTTGTTAGGGTTATTTACTTTTTGTATTCTCATTGTCCTTTTGTAAGAGAATGCCTCATCCTCTCTTCCTTTTTTGATTTATCAATAAAGCTTTTGTTGTTGATCAAAAAAATAACATACATTTTATGTTTAAGTTCTCAAAAAAAAAAAAAAAATGAAAAATCTCCATCTTTTAATTCATGGGAGGAAAACCAAGTTGAGGATAAATATTTCTTCTCTACATAATATTATATTTTGCCTCGGTAGCTTTCTATTATATTTATTTGGGATTCATATGTTTGAATGGTCCCATCCTAGATCTAGTTGGAACAACATTCCAGTTGAGAGAGAATTGAAGTTCTATCTTGATGAGAGCGCAGTCCAAACAAGACACCCCCCAGTAGGCCATTGTTGCAGCAACTAAGAAGGCGAGTTATTGATGTATGAAGAACACATAAAGAAATGATATCACCTGCAAAAACATATTTGTCCGTTGCATTTTATCAGTTTGATATGACTTGCCACGATTGACAAATATTGAATTGCCACATGAAAGAATTATTTGTTGTGCATTGAGTGTATACTAATCTTGTGCTCTGGACCATTATTTATCATGGTGGCAATGGCCTAATCAATGAGTCACTCTTTTCCTATTTCCGACTAAACCTCAGATCTCTAGTTATATTAAAGTCTACAACATCTGCTGTAAAAGTTGCTAGCTTAGCATTACTACAATATTCAATGATGTAATGCCCACGCTGAGAAGTAAACAGAATGAATGCTGTCATGCATGGCACAAATACGTCAAGGATGCAAAGCTCGAAATTGATGCTGACTTCATGATTACATAACATAAAATATAAATAAATAAATCTTGCAGCATTCTTATTTAATGCCCACATGCCCTAATCTAGCTAATTTTTTTTTTTTTAATAACAGCATGCCCCCTTTAAGATATATATATATATATATAAAAGAATCAAATCCTTTTATAGCATAAGACAGGCTTTTAAAGTGGAGACAATGTTTGCATTGCGCCACAAAATAAAAGGCCAAAGTATGGATATTTGAACAAATTTGGAGCATGAGTTGTGCACACAGAAACCGTATACTCTTTTTTTAATGGCATAAAATCCTTCAGTTTTGTTAAAAGACTCAGGGATCTAGCTTGAAGGACTAATTCTAATTTCTAATTAATAAATAAGTATGAAGGTGATAATTTCAAAAAGCTTATGGCCATAAGAGACCACTGACAGGTGTTGCCATATGAGTGACCTTCTTAATAAAATGGAGAGTTTGCATACACCTCATCGTTACATTGCAACTTAGAGAATTTCCATGGTGCTATCGTGATGCTAGTGAACTTCACTAAAACTGTGGTAGATTACAACATTGAAAATGTAATCAGCAGCTGAATTGCCCACATATTAATTAATTAGAAACTAAGTACAATATCATTTAACAAGGAAGCAATTTAGAAAAAAATATATATAATCGACTAAGAATGAACGCACTCTAGTCTAGTCTCTACACGTGAACACATACCAAAAATTGTAGCAAAATCTTGATTTGGTTACTAAACACACATCATAGAATTAAAGAACAGAATGATTAGAAGCATAGAACCTACTACATGGAATGGAACTGGCATAAAATGAAGCATAATAGGCTGAGAAAGTTCTATAAAAGAAGTGAATGAAATTTAGCTTACAAGGTCATAAGCTTGCCGTGCCAATAAAACCTTCTCGGTGCATAGACTCAAGGCATTGTCCTGGTTTGCCTCAATATCCTTTTTCATCTTCTCGAAAGCAGGCTCCTCTTCGTCTTCTTCTTCTTCTTCTCCTTCTTCACCGTCAACGTGGTGTTCTTCATCTTCTTCTTCTTCCTCTTCTTCTTCTTCTTCATCATCATCATCTTCGTCTTCTTCTTCTTCTTCTTCGTTATTACCTTTCTTTGAGCCTTGAGAAGCCAACCCCAAGCAGTACTTGGTCTGCTGCCTTGTTTGATTTATCATAGCTTTCTCCCAAAATTTTGAATCACATTATTATTATTATTATTATTATTATTATTATTATTATTATTATTAGAATAAAAAAATCTAACAAAAGGATAGCATGCCTAGTCTCTCTCTCTCTCTCTCTCTCTCTCTCTCTCTCTCTCACACACATACATATGCAAACAAACATTTATTATTCTAACATTTGTGTTAGATTGAGAGTCGGGATGAGCATAGTTCAAATTGGTTCGATTTAATCCATTACCTACGGTTACACCAAATTTAGAACCAAACCAATCCATAAAAATCTTGGAATTAATCCAAACAACTAAACCACGGTTCAATTCAGTTCGGAATCGCGAATTTTAAAAATATTATCATTATACATAATGTGATTAGAAAATATTACTCAAGAAATGTTTATATGGTTGTTTAGAACTATTCTATCATGTTGCGTTTGGTTGGGGAATTTGGGAAGGGATTTAGAAAAGACAAAAAGAAAAAGTGTGTGAAACTAGGTAAAATGAAAGTATATTTTATTCACATTTACCCCTTTTCTTTTTCTTTTTTTTTTGTTCAATTATCTTTCCAAATCCTTTCCCAAATCCCCAAACCAAAAACAGGCGTCATTAAATTTTTTATATTTGATAGTAATAAAATATTTTATTATAACATAATCTAAACTGTCTAGTTCGGACTGAAGCGTAAGGTTTCGTGTATTTCAAAAACCAAAAACGATTATGGTCAGCCCTAATTGAGTGTGAAAGGAAGGAAGGAAGGAAGTACGTACCTTGTGAACGTTCATCGAGTTCTCTAATGGTATTGAGAAGCCTCTGGAGCTCTGCTGGCAATGTGCTTGCATCTATTCGAATTTTTAAATAAATAAATAAAATCAGCAGCAAATAGAACTCAAAAAGAGAATATGATAAATTGAGAGAGAAGAGACAGAGGAAATAACATACATTCCAAATAGTCATCCACGAACACTCCAGTTCGAGCGATGGCCATGGCGTACCAACCAGCTGCGGTGCCCTTCTTCTCCTCCTTTTCTTTTTTTTTTGGTTAGGGTTTTACAATTTTGAGAGGGAAAGACGAGCTCGATTTTCGATTTCCGATTTCCGATTTCCTTTGGACAAAAGTGGAAAGAAAAAAAAAAACCACGCGGGTCCTTCTCAAATGGGAAATTCTATTTGCACTTTCAAAACTGTTTATTAAGGTCAAGTTTGGGTACTTTTAAAAAAGTCAAAAAGTCGAAAAGTTATTCAAAAAATTAAAAAGTTAATACTATTTATCAAAAGTCAACAATTACGGCTGCACAACTTCCAATTCAAATTTTTCTCTACAAATCAATTTTTACAATTTTTTATTACACATTTTTCAATAAAAAGTCAAAAAGTTAACCCAAACATCCATATTTTCAACCTCAATTTTTTAGTCCAAAAAGACAAAAAATGCACTTTTTTAGTCTTCCCAAACTTGGCCTAAATTCTATTTGCACTTTTAAGTTTATTAGGTCGCGTCTGGTAACAAATATCAAAAATTACGGCGTCGTTCGGTTTTTAATTTTTTATTTATATTTATAAAAATTTTAAAAATTTAAATAAAAATTTGTTTGATAAAATTTTTAATTTATAAATCAGTGGTCTCAGTTTACAAATTTTACCAAAAAATAAAAACACAAAAAATGTGTTTCCGTTTTGAGTTTTGAGTTTTTTTTTTTTTTATCACCCAAAACTAGCCACCACCTGCCACCATTTTCCACCACCACTCACCACCACCTGCCACCACCACTCACCACCCACCTGCCACCACTAGTCACCACCCGCCACCACCAGCCACCACCCACTCGCCGCCGCCACCACCACTTGCCGCCGTCGCCGCCACCACCACCACCACCATCACCCACCACCCACGTGCTACCACCTACCACCCGCCATCGTCACCACCCACCCCACACCCCCTCACCACCACCCACCCGCTACCACCCACCGCCACCCGCTATCTACCACCCACCGTCACCACTTTCCACTACCGTCTTCCGTCGCCACTTGCCACCACTTGCCATTTCTCACTCTCTTCTTGTTTAAACAGATAGACACCCTTAAACATGGAGTTCACTTACTTAACCTTAATTTCTCATAGAAATTCACAATAAGCATTCAAAATCACAAAATAGGGTCTGAAAATATATCAGAAAACATGTACAAGGGTCTGGTTATTACAGGTTGGCCAGAAATCCCAACCATGCTGACATGCGAGAGGCCGATGGGAATGGCCTACCAGATTCTGATCGAGCCAGCGGAAGTCGGGAATAGATACGTTAGAGCTCGCGATGCACCTCCGGTATGTACCACATTTTCTCCAGCTTTTCATTTTCTTTTTGATATTTGTTCCTTCCGAATACTGATCATTCCCAATGCATTTGTAGGCACCACCGAAGTACACTGAGGGACTGCTCGAGCTACTGGCTTCGTTCGAGAGCATGATACTGAGAAATGAGGCACTGCTCAGTCTCCATAACATCCAGGTATTCTCTCATATTTTCTACCCGTATTTCAGCATTTTCAATACTGTTGTGCACATCATTCTCACTAAAGCACTGATACTTATATCACGGTATGCATTTTTTCCCTTGTCACATCACACTGATATGTTGCACTGACACACTACACTGTATTTGTACTGTATCTAGCTCATTGCATCCCACCACTTTCATCATGCTGCATCTGTAACTATACATTGTATCTGATATGCCAATACTACATCTCTTCAGGTTCCAGCCGCATCGAGAGCACTAGTGGCGGCGATTGTGCCTGTACCATCACCACCTCATCCAGCAGCAGAGGGGAGGGAGAGACAGACCCCAACATACAGCCAAGAAGAGCATTGTGGTCGAGGTTGGATGAGCCCCTCGGGGCCAGTGTTGAGTGACGATGATGCTGAGAAGTGACTCCGGAGAGGCAGTGAGTCCACAGTCTGAGTCCTTTGAGAGTGGAGATGATGGTGGCTCGAGATCTAAGAGCAAAGGCAATACTAAATCGGGTTTTGAGGCAGAGAGCGGCAATGATTCTAGTTTTGGCTCGACATCTAAGTCAGACAGCGGCGCTGATAGAGACAGCTTTGAGTCTCCACCCAGGAAGAGAACGAAGAGGGCCTTTCGAGCCTGAGATGACTGGCATTGATCTCTTTTGTACTTTTGCTTAGTTTCTTTTTGGTTGGTAGCATTAGCATATGTATAGCTTTAGGAAGTTCTACTTTGCTTTAAAAACTTGTACTGCTCTTTTGTAAAAAAGCCATGATCGGAATAAAACCTTGTAGTTTTTATGAAAAGTGTGTTGTCATTTTTGCATCATGAGCACCATATATGCATGAAATGAACAGGGAACTGAAATGGCCAAGAGCGCTTGATTAAAACAAGATGCTTAATCGGGTAATGAACTAACCAACAAACAAAGTACAAAATGCAATATACAACTCGATAAACAAAACAACAATAACTCAATAAACAAAATAAAACAACTCAACAAACTTGCTAAAACCAAAATGACTCAAAACAAGACCTTAAAACACGCAAAGAGTAGAACAAAACACATGTTTTCAACATTGTTCATCACAAAGGTGGACAGCAGACCTGAGAGAAAGGGTGCCGACCAAAATAGGAATTTGCCGGCCATCTGCCGACCGCAAGAAATGGCCTGCCGGCCATCAGCAGTGGGCTGCTTGCCACCAATGAGCAGAACCTCCAGATTGTCGACAGTTGGCTTCCACTCACTGCCTTATCTTCTACAAAAGGTTCACCTTCGTCATTTCTTCTCTAGAACTCATTCTAGCTGTTATTTTTTGCCACAAATAGAGCCATTTCTTGCCCAAAACCTTGCGGACTGGATTGCAACTTTCGATGGCTCAAAAAAGGTGAATTTTTGGGGTTTCGGCATAAATGCACTTTTTTCATTGAGTCGGACTCCACTTTGTTTTTCGTTTCTTCATATCGCGGCTAGATGTTAGAACCTGATTATACATGTCTTTAGCTTTGGGGGACAAGAAATATGCCCGACAATTGAAGAATTTCAGGCATTAATGGAATCCTGGCATGATAAGAAGATTATGCCTCAGCCCCGTTTTGGTCATGCCCAAGTTTTGGGACGGATGTGTGGGCTCACTCTGCACAAGGCTCGATCTCTGGCCCACAACGGAGAGCTGGATATTCCTAGTTTGATTCGTCGATTTTTTGATGCCGGTGACCGCAGCGACCGGCTTTGGCGGGGTTTCGGCAACATGCCTTCTGCTTATGTATGTTGGCTCATTTCCTTCTTGCCCCTAGTTTTGGTAGATCTAGCATTCACTTGATCGAAGTGGCGCAAGGCCTAAAAGAAGGCAAGAGTTGCATTGGCTTGACACTGGCCGAGACTTTGATGGGTTAAGATGCCTTCCATCGGCGGGAGACTACCAGATTCACAGGGAGTCCACTACTTCTTCAGGTAATGTTTCCCACCCTTTCTTATATGTGTTTCTCACTTCGCTCGGCACTCATGCTCTGTTGTTCTCTCAAAGCCCTTTTCTGACTTTTCTCTCAACATATACCTCTATATTCCTTAATCTTTCTTTTCTTTCATCCCTTCCCAGGTGTGCCTTATGGACATGTTAAAGGTAGTGGACTATTGCCCTAAATACTTAGCTCGAGGTTATTTCTTCCATCATCGACTAGTGGATTCCCCGAGTGAGGGATAGTGGTGTGAATGGATGTGCAACAGGTCTGCTGCTGACATAGCTTGGTGCCGCCCCTGGTTTAATCTGACCGAGATAAGCTAAAGCATGGGCCGGCAGTCCAACATTCAGTTGATTGGCCTGACTCACTGTGTATTTTACATCCCGTTCTGGTTAAGGCGTCAGTTTGGGCATGATCAGAGCTGCCTAGAGGAAGGGGTAGAGTACCAGTTTCATTCTCCATCTAAGGTTCACACTTGGCTAGGTACCTCACTGCTTGGAGGATGAGGGAGCTTCTGGCCCCTGCCCCTAGTTTTAGTTGCGCCCTTTCTGGCGAGTGTTTGGATTGGCTCGAGGATGAGGCACAAACCGGGCCCACTTTGGCATCAGAAACTTCCACAAGCACGAGCGGGGGACGCAAGTGCACCTGACTCATCCATGCCCCTAGTTTATTGCTTTGACTTTTCTTTCCAAGTTTTTTTTTTTAATGTAATAAAAGGAACTTTGATTTGTATCGAGAGTTGGAGAACTTTGTATTGAAATCAATGAAATTAAAGTTGTAAGCATTGAAAATTTTCCTTTTGGTTCAAAAATAGTCCAAGTTGTAAAAGGTAAATTTTGAACAAAAATCAACTTCTATTAAAACTTTTCAAAACCATTTTCGAGAAGGACCACCACTTGACACACACAGAATCAATTCTCGAGATGTACAACTCCGAATCCAAAGATAGTAACTACCCCTTGATTGAACACCACTACTCTGCATTGTAACCAGCTTTTCTCTCAGAGTAAAGATCACAATCGAACCCTCAGGTAGAGAACGGATAAAGATTACCTGATCAGACACATGGACAGCGTAGTTGAGTTGGAGGTGTTTACGGCCGGATTTCAGGATGAAGTTGCCTATGTATCCCGAAGATGAGAATCAGGCCTTACGTAGTTCGGTTCAGGTTCACTCAGGTATTAACTCTCTGTTTTTGCTCTTTAACTTTTACCAAGGCCACCCCTTAGGGTTTTCAACCTTGCAAGCTCAGTTTTTCTTTATTTCTAATTTTTTGTGCTCTAACTTTTGCCTAGGTTGCCCTTTCAGGTTTTCGGCCTAGCGAGCCACTCAGGGATAATATTTCTTAAACTTGTCCATATTGATCGGTTGGGAAAATTCCAGGTCATCTAGGTCCATAAGAATAACAGCTCCACCTGACCACATAGTTTTGATGATGTAAGGACTAGTCCAATTAGGTCTGAACTTGCCCCTAGGGTCATGGATAGGAGCTTGGTTGTCTTTCAGCGCTAAATCACCCTCTTTGAGATTCCAGGACTTAACCTTCTTTTTAAAAGCCATAGCAATCCTACGTTGATAACCTTGAACATGGTACAATGCTTTCAGCCGTCTCTCATCAAACAACATCAGTTCTTCAAACCTGCTTTGTTGCCAGTCTGTCTCTAC